CACACATTTTAAACATATTTATCTTTTATCTGTTAGCCATTCGCTGCTATTTTGGTCAAACTGGTCCCGTGCAAGACGGCTGCCAGCTCTGCAGCTTTGGGACAAGGTGAAACTGTGCCATGCCAAGATATTATCGGTTCTTTTGGGGCTAAACTAGGATTAGTGCATCACTCGCGGTGACTTAACTGAAGTGATTATGCTTCACACTTTAATCTGACCATAATGTCAAAATCAGACAGTGACCTGCAACATGGGCATGTTTTAATAGATCATGTACTGATAAAACACTGAATGCATCAGGGGAACCCCCTGCCGCCCTATGGCTAATGACAGCATGGAGCAAACACACCATGACCCTATATAAGGAGATTAAAGACGCTGAGGCGTGGTATATTAACTGCACAGGGGCCGGCATTATTTAAAAATGTACAGTTCAGTGTTCATCCTTTATCTTTTTAAAGAATTTCTATTTTTCTGGAGTGTGAAAAAATAAAAATTAACACAATCATAACATCAAAAAACTTTGTATACTTATGTTTTACTTCTATAGAATAAGAAGCAAATGAAGAGATTTAAGCACACTTTAAAAAAAAGAAAAAAGAAAAATCACACACAGACCTGCTAGAGGGAGCCCAGCCTGCATGTAAGAGGGAATCAGTGATTTATGGCAGCATTTATGTCTTCCTCTAATCTCTTATCCAGGTCATTTAGTAATGGTTCAGACCTTAACATACACCAATCACGTAAGGAGAGGGAGACCCTGAGCCTCGTGAGAAGTGTGCTGCCTTTTATTCCAAGCATACATGAAAAGCACCTATTAGTTCCATGTCACTGTGCAGCGGTAACAACAACCGTAACTAAACTCATGTGTTTGAGTTCCAAACACGAAATTTTATCATCAAAATAAAATCTTTAAGCATTGTATTTTATATTTATCATCGTATTATATTCTATCATTGGTATATTTGGAAATTCTTAAAGGTTGTCCTGTATTCTGAACCATCTCTCAACAACTCTACAAACTGTATAGCCAATTTTTTTTTAAAAATGCATCGAGACACTCTCTGGTAATTATAGTATAATTATAGTATATTATTGTATTAAAGTCAGATATTATGCAGTAATGCTAACCAGGTGAGAGTAATCTGGAATGTTTCTCTGGATTAAAAATCTTGTACATACATCTACTCTAACAGTTTCTGCAAATTATTCCTAGAGCATCAGACACACATGTAGTCCAAAGTCTTGGGCCGCTGAAGGTTCTTACCCTAGATCAGCTATAATGCCATGATCGTACCAAGCAACTGCCTAGCAATGGGCTAAAATATCACGTTTTTAGTATTTACTCACCTGTAAAGTATTTGTATTGTGTTTATTTTGTGAGAAAAGCTGAATTTTGAATGATATATTGTGACACCATCACACTGCCTAGCCACCACCTAAAAACAGGCTCAAATGACCCGTTTTTAGACTTTATGCACGTACAGCACCTTATATGAAAATGTGCTATTGCTTTAATTTGACAACAATAACATCTTATTCATATCGACATATACTTAATTATGCATGATATAATATGATATTATTATGCTGCCAGGCTACCACCTATCAATGGGCTTAAATGACCTCTTTTCAATGTATAAACAAAATCCACCTCCCCTATTCATTTAAATTTTCTAAACGTGATTACATATTGCGGTTTACCAACAGCTAAACAGGCCAGACAATGGGCATGTATTAGTTGTAGTAAAGCAAAGTTTCAAAATCGAAGGCATTGCATTCACGAGTTAATGTGAAACTGTATGCATGTGTCCCTGGCAACCAGCAAAAGGCACAAAAAACAATAAAAATGAGAACAAAAAAAGAGAGAGAAAAATCTGAATGTTTTTCTGATCTGTATGTTTTGAGTAGGTGCTGTCTGACACAGATCCTTTAATAGCTCCAGAAGCACTAAAGGCCATTATTGATTTATTCTTCATGCTAGCATACATGTATCAATACAAACCCACAGCTCATGTACAGTTAAAAGTCATTTCTGTGGCCCATGTACTGTCACCCTTCTTACCTTGGCTGCACTGATTTGCTCCTTCCTGAACCGCTCCAGCGGCAAAATTAACACATCATTGGCATTCTCGATCTACAAGGCAGATATACAAACCAAAAAAATCCATGTTACAGACACACCAGTATACACCAGGTATTTTAATATTGGTATCATTTGTACCAGCAGTTTCTATTACAGCTGCCAGTCATTTTCTGGAGAGGACTAGTGCTTCCATGGTTATAAAAGACCAAACGTTCACTCTCATTAAGAATAGCCTATAATATACACAATATAGCTAGTTAGGTCACTCACCATTCGTGTCCGTTCATCCTCCAGGTTCTGTAAAACTGCTGCAAACTCCTGAAGTGACTTGGCTAGGGACAGTCATGTTGGTAGATGGGGTGAATGAGAAAGAGACAAAAGAGATCATTGAAAATAAAAAAAAGGCAGAAAAGCAAAGCACTGCTATTTTTAATGCTGATAAAGAGCGAGACAAAAAAAAGATGCTTTGTTTCTGCTTCGGTACCACTTATTTAGAGGTTTTGAAATGTTTCTAAACTCATGACATAGCAGAGTAATTAACTGGAAATGAAACCGCAACTTAAAGGGTTTGTTTCTATGGTGCTTTCACAGTCAGCATGGATCGGTGCAAGGTTCCCCCATTCACTGGCAAACGAGCCACAGCTACATTGTTTAGGTCAGAGTTTCCACTTCAGTTGCCTCTGACCCTGTCCAACACTTCACACACACGAACACACAGACTTGTTCTTCAGGCACACTGAGCGCACCTCAAGTAATTGAAGAGTGTGCCTACAGAACATGTGTTCCTTATGCACAGAAAAGCAGAAATTGTATGCGCACTGTGATAATCCATTCCACAGTTATCCATTTTATCCTCATTAACATCAAACTTCATGTTTCTGGAAGTTATAGGTTTTGTATTTGGCTATTAAAAAGGAGGTGCAGGCCTTAAACGTCCAGGTTTGAGTGGAATCTAATAGCAGAAATGTGATATAATTGTAGTTGTGTTTTCATTAGCGTAGAATTGAATTTTTAGTGTAGGAGACAATTTTTCATTGCCTCAGAATAAGCTCTTTATCTACAGAGCCTGCAGGTACACGTCCAGGTGCTTCTATAGAAGCCCAGAATGGACAAACCATACAGAGGGCCTTTTCCATTTTGTGTTTTAGCACCAACTCTAGGATCACCAGAATACAGAAATTAATCAGGTTGCAATCTGTACTGTCAGCTGACACTACACCCTACACATGGCTTCTTTCATCCATTATTAGAAGAAAAAA